CGAGGACCCGTTTTTCAAGCACAAATGCCGCTTCTGCGCCAAGGTCTTCGGCAGTGACAGCGCGCTCCAGATCCACCTGCGCTCGCACACAGGCGAGCGGCCCTTCAAGTGCAACATCTGCGGGAACCGCTTCTCCACCAAAGGCAACCTGAAGGTGCACTTCCAGAGGCACAAGGAGAAGTACCCCCACATCCAGATGAACCCCTACCCGGTCCCCGAGTACCTGGACAATGTGCCCACTTGCTCGGGCATTCCCTACGGCATGTCGTTGCCCCCAGAGAAGCCCGTGACCACCTGGCTGGACAGCAAGCCCGTGCTGCCCACCGTGCCCACGTCCGTGGGGCTGCAACTGCCGCCCACTGTCCCTGGCGCGCACGGCTACACGGACTCCCCCACCGCCACCCCCGCCAGCCGCTCCCCGCAGAGGCCCTCGCCCGCCTCCAGCGAGTGCGCCTCCTTGTCCCCAGGCCTGAACCACCCCGAGTCCGGCGTGTCAGCCACCGCTGAGTCCCCACAGCCACTCCTCGGCGGGCCGCCCCTGACTAAAGCCGAGCCCGTCAGCTTGCCTTGCACCAATGTCAGGGCCGGGGACACTCCCGTGGGCGCGCAGGCCAGCGCCGCGCCAACATCGGTGGATGGCGCTCCCACGAGCCTCGGCAGCCCCGGGCTGCCCGCCGTCTCCGAGCAGTTCAAGGCCCAGTTTCCGTTCGGCGGGCTGCTGGACTCGATGCAAACGTCGGAAACCTCGAAGCTGCAGCAGCTGGTGGAGAACATCGACAAGAAGATGACGGACCCGAACCAGTGCGTCATCTGCCACCGGGTGCTGAGCTGCCAGAGCGCGCTGAAGATGCACTACCGGACGCACACGGGGGAGCGGCCGTTCAAGTGCAAGATCTGCGGCCGCGCCTTCACGACCAAGGGCAACCTCAAGACGCACTTCGGCGTGCACCGCGCCAAGCCGCCCCTGCGCGTTCAGCACTCCTGCCCCATCTGCCAGAAGAAGTTCACCAACGCCGTGGTCCTGCAGCAGCACATTCGCATGCACATGGGCGGCCAGATCCCCAACACGCCGCTGCCCGAGGGCTTCCAGGATGCCATGGACTCCGAGCTGGCCTACGACGACAAGAACGCGGAGATTCTGAGCAGCTACGACGACGACATGGACGAGAACTCCATGGAAGACGACGCCGAGCTGAAGGACGCGGCCAGCGACCCGGCCAAGCCGCTCCTATCCTACGCGGGGTCCTGCCCGCCCTCCCCGCCCTCGGTCATCTCCAGCATCGCCGCCCTGGAGAACCAGATGAAGATGATCGACTCGGTCATGAGCTGCCAGCAGCTGACCAGCCTCAAGTCCGTGGATAACGGGTCCGGAGAGAGTGACCGCCTGAGCAACGACTCCTCGTCGGCCGTGGGCGACCTGGAGAGCCACAGCGCGGGTAGCCCCGCCCTGTCCGAGTCCTCGTCCTCGCAGGCCCTGTCGCCGGCCCCCAGCAACGGCGAGAGCTTCCGCTCCAAGTCCCCGGGCCTGGGCGCCCCGGAGGAGCCCCAGGAGATCCCGCTCAAGACCGAGAGGCCCGACAGCCCGGCCCCCGCCCCAGGCAGTGGAGGCGCCCCCGGCCGCGCGGGCATCAAGGAGGAGGCGCCCTTCAGCCTGCTGTTCCTGAACAGGGAGCGGGGTAAGTGTCCCAGCACTGTGTGTGGTGTCTGTGGCAAGCCTTTTGCTTGCAAGAGCGCGTTGGAAATCCACTACCGCAGCCATACTAAGGAGCGGCCGTTCGTCTGCGCGCTCTGCAGGCGAGGGTGCTCCACTATGGGTAATTTAAAACAGCACTTACTGACGCACAGATTGAAAGAGCTGCCTTCTCAGTTATTTGACCCCAACTTTGCTCTAGGTCCCAGCCAAAGCACTCCTAGCCTGATCTCCAGCGCCGCACCCACCATGATCAAAGTGGAAGTGAACGGTCACGGCAAGGCCATGGCGCTGGGCGAGGGTCCCCCGCTGCCCGCGGGCGTCCAGGTCCCCGCCGGGCCTCAGACAGTGATGGGCCCGGGCCTGACGCCCATGCTGGCCCCCCCGCCGCGCCGGACGCCCAAGCAGCACAACTGCCAGTCGTGCGGGAAGACCTTCTCCTCGGCCAGTGCCCTGCAGATCCATGAGCGCACGCACACCGGCGAGAAGCCGTTCGGTTGCACCATCTGCGGCCGGGCCTTCACCACCAAGGGCAACCTCAAGGTAAGAGCATGGCAGGCTCCAGCCCCGGCTGCGGTGCGCCGAGCCGCCGTGGCTTCCTCCATCACCTGCCGCGGACACAGCAACCGAGGTCCTGCTCCTATTCTGGCCAGGGGAACGAGATGCCACACGTGTGGGTGTGGGTGTGTTTGCATGCATGTGCGTGGTGTGTGTGTTGTAGGGTGTGATGTGTGTGTCGGGTGTGCGTGTGGGTGAGCGGTGTACCTATGTGCATGCATGTGGGTATGGGTTGTGTATGAGTATGCATGTGTAGGTGCCCCATGTGTGGGTGTATAATGTATCCATACGTGTATAATGTGCATGTCCAAATGGGCATGTCGTGTGTGTGGTGACTGGCATGTGTGTGTGTCCCTGTGCACACACACTTAGGCTACATGCTGTTAATCGGCTGCAGGAGGAACAGGGGCCTGGGCCTCTCCCCAGGGACACATGCAGCTGGGCCTCTGATGGCTTCAGCCAGGTTAGGCATTGGTTAGGGGTGAGAACACTCACTTTGCAACTTGGGGGATAGGTCTAGGGCCTGAAGCCCTCTGGAATCTGATGGAAAATAAACTTGGTTTTAAACCTCACATGTAATACAAGAAATACCAAGGCGAGGTCACTCAACAGGCCCTGTGGTTCTGTCCTTGTGTCTGCCAAGAGGGCCCACAGGAGGGGCGCTGGTTGAGAAACTCCTGGCGTGGGGCAGAGGAGCCAGCGCTGCGCTGAGATCGCAGCAGCAGTGGTAGAGAGGGTGTGTGACGAGTACTGGGTGGCTCAGGCCCGTTCCTTGTACCGTCTTGGCTGATGGCTGCTTTCTGTCCTCTGTGAAGTCCTCGTTTGCAAAGCCAGCCTGTCTGGGTTCCGGCAGCCTCTTCAGACAGCCCAAAGATTGTTGCCTGTGGTTTCTACCCAGCGTGTGTGGGCTGGATAAGAACTGACCCAAGGGTCTGCTGGCTGCAGGTGGCCCTGGGATGTTCTAGAATTAATGTTTTCTCGTTTGAGAGAAAGCAAGAGAAGAGAGGCACAGTCAGACAGTCCCAGCGGCAGAGGATGTGAAGTGGGGGACGGTGGAGGCCATGAAGGGAGCCAGGGCTTGGGCAAGTGAAGGGGCAAGACCTGGACCCTTCGAGCTCCAGAACATTCTCTGGGTGGCCATGTGGGCTTTACACCTTAGGAGAAAATTAAAGTTTGTCTACTGAAAGACCGCATTCATTAATTTATATTTGTTGGTTTTGCTTATTATATTCAATAAAACAAGATGTTTGCATGTAGAAATATGAAGTGCCCGGAAAAGTCCACCTGTGTTTTGTTGTCCCTAAGTCGCGCTTGGGAGCGGGGTAGACCTCTGTCTGCCGCAGTGAACGCGGAGCAGCTCTGCCTCCGTGTCTGGGCGCTTACTCGTGGGCTGTCTCCGTGTCTCGCGCAGGTGCACATGGGGACACACATGTGGAATAACGCCCCCGCGAGACGCGGCCGCCGCCTGTCTGTGGAGAACCCCATGGCTCTCCTAGGGGGCGATGCCCTGAAGTTCTCTGAAATGTTCCAGAAGGACCTGGCGGCTCGGGCAATGAACGTCGACCCCAGTTTTTGGAACCAGTATGCTGCAGCCATCACGAACGGGCTCGCCATGAAGAACAACGAGATCTCCGTCATCCAGAACGGAGGCATCCCCCAGCTCCCCGTGAGTCTCGGGGGCAGCGCCCTACCCCCTCTGGGCACCATGGCCAGTGGGATGGACAAAGCGCGTACCGGCAGTAGCCCACCCATCGTCAGCTTGGACAAAGCAAGCTCAGAAACAGCAGCCAGCCGCCCATTCACACGGTTTATCGAGGACAACAAGGAGATTGGTATCAACTAGCCAGTGACTCGCTCATCTGCCCTGCCCAGGCCCACGTTTTGAAGTTGGAGCGCCAGGCCTCTGACCTTCCTTGCCTCGGTTCTCATTACACTTTCACCCATAGCAGAAAACACTTTGTGCGACTGCTGAGAGGTGGTCTTGTAAGTGCTGCATGGCGCCCCCTTCAACAGCAAGTCTGACTGTTCTTGAGAACTCTGCAACCTTTTACATAAGTTTCTGTCAAAAAAAAGTGCTTGGAAAACCGCCTTAGGAACAGAAAGAGCTCAGACCATGTCCACTTCCTTTCTCCTGAAACCCAATAATCTCTACGAGGGAGAAAGGGGTCCCCCGCGGTATTCCAGTGAAACTCATTTGATGGTTTCGTTTGAATTAGTTAAGACACTTGAACGATGTTTTTTAGAACTCTTCATGTTAAAGACGTGGTTTAGTACTCCCAATGCTGTGTATCATGACACTATCTTCGTCTGTAGTATTTATAATGTTAAGATTATGCGGGTAACAGACAATATAATAGCCCCGACCTTAAACGAAGCTTTTGTACTGCAGAATACATCTGGCTATGTGATTTTTTTTTTTAAGCAAGATTTGTTTTAGTATAAATAAGTGGATTATTTCAATGCAGGCAAAATTGTGAAGTTCTGTTGGGAAAGATAGCATGCTTTTCATGTGCGAGTACCTGTCAGTAATAAGCCTTTTTTTGGTTTTTTTGTTTGTTTGTTTTGTTTTTTTTAATTTAAATGTTTGTAGCTGCTATGTGGACTGTTGTTTTCTAGTGTGGTCTGTAGCCCAATGACTGGGGAACGAGTTACAGACAAACATCACCGTAAATGACTCACAACATTATAAACAGTTGTGAGAAAATATTTCACATTATCAAAGCTGTACAATAAAAAGGTAATGTTTGTATAATGTGGTTGCAAACTCTTAATTTATACTATTGCACTTTTAGTATTTTGTATTAGGGAGGTTTGTCTATAATTTGAAAATTTAAAAAGATGTAAAGTATTTTATAAATAGTACTTCAATTTAAGGAAAATGGGAAAACTGTTACAGTTTCTTGTTTTGTCTTATGGTCAAACAATATTAGAAATCTATGCCACTTAAAAAGAAAAGCCACCAGGCCGGGCGCGGTGGCTCAAGCCTGTAATCCCAGCACTTTGGGAGGCCGAGGTGGGCGAATCACAAGGTCAGGAGATCGAGACCACAGTGAAACCCCGTCTCTACTAAAAATACAAAAAATCAGCCGGGCGCGGTGGCGGGCGCCTGTAGTCCCAGCTACTCAGGAGGCTGAGGCAGGAGAATGGCGTGAACCCAGGAGGCGGAGCTTGCAGTGAGCCGAGATCGCGCCACTGCACTCCAGCCTGGGCGACAGCGTGAGACTCCGTCTCAAAAAAAAAAAAAAAAAGAAAAAGAAAAGCCACCAAGACTTGTCAGCTCCTCAGAAAATAGGGCCTGCCGTTTCTTGAGTTAAAATGATTTATTTAACTTTTCTACAAACACAAAGCCCATTTACAAACTGTGACCACCCCCTAATGAAACCTTGGTGAATTCCTCCTAGGACTGTGACGTCAGTACACGCCAGGAAGGAACTAGGAGAACCTTTTGCAAGTCTGATTTTCCCGTAAGCGGGTCTGTCTCTCTCTCTCACCCACAGACAAGACTGTGGCTGCCTGGTGGCACTGGTCACGTGGACAGTAAACCCAAGAGAAGTGGCAAGTATCAGGCAGTACAATCAGTCATGACTTTGAAATTTTCCGAGTTCCTGATTTATTTATTATCTTCTCAGATGAAAGCAAAGCACAGTGTCCTCTGATTTTTCAGAACACAGTCTGGCGCTGATGGCTGAGCTGCATCCAGCCGGGAGGGCCCGGGAGGCAGGGGCGGCCGAGGCAGCGCAAACACGGCGTCGTGTGAACTACCTCATTTTCGTGCGTTGCAAGCGTGCTGGCGTCTGACACTGTGAACTTCCAACAACAAAATTGTTCAAGAGATGCTCTGTCAGCTGGGTAACAGTGCGAGGAGTTGCATGCCCGGACAGTGAAGTCTTCTCGGTTGAGACAGAAAAATAAAACGATCTTCTCCTAACAACCACAGCAGCAACAACAATCATTGTGAGAGGATGGGCTGTGTGTGCCAGCGTGTCACTGAACAAAAAGAGTATCAAAGACTCATTAGCTGTTTATTTCTATTGGAAATGAACACTGAACTCTACAGCTCTGTTTTCCACGGTGATGAGATGTAACTTGGCCCCACTGTGCCACCTCTTCTCACGGGATGAGGGGTCGGGGTGTCTCAAGCATTAGGCAGAGAAAACTGAGGTGGCTTGAGGTCGCTGTGTTTCAGCAGTTGAATGTTTTCACTATTTATCAGTGTCCTTTCTGGTGTGTGTGTGTGGTTTTTTGTTCGTTTGTTTTTTGGTTAGTATTTGGTACCACATAGTGTCCTCTCTTCTCCCAAATGGATGTGTATATAACTAAAGAGAAATGTAAAGTGTTGTAAATAAGATGGCTCATGAAGGTACAGTGAGACTGACCCTCCTGTGTGCAGGGCTAGGCCATCCCTCTGCATGGTCAAGAGAGACGCTATTTTTATACTGTAATGCCATGCGGGGCTGGGGCCTCTCTGAGCAGCTGGGGATTGTTACCTAGACCCAATATTTTTTATTATTAAATCTTGTGGCTTGACACATCTACTGATTGAAATGGGATGTCTTAGTCTAGGTTACTATTTTTGTCACATGGAATTGAATAAAATGCAGGATGTAATGTTACTTCTGAGTTGCGTTCCTTGATTTCCCTAATGGAGAAAGTGGAATTTGAGGAGGTCATTTGTGGTGGGTGTGTGTCCGTGGTATTTCCACCAGGAACGTCAACACAGGTTGGCAGCTTAGATTTAAGCAGCGTCTCGGTGCATCTTGATTGGTCTTGAAATTTTTACTTTGTGCTTTTTTCCAAAATAAAAATTCGGCCTCCTAGTTGTGGGTTCTTTTTACATCTATGATGGAAGAAGATGTGGTAGAAAATTCCTGCATATCAGAGACTCCGCAGTGCCCAAAAATGACCGCTCAGAATTGCCTTCCTGTCATCAGCATGAAGTGAAAATGCCAGCTTTTCAGGTTGCTTGAACACATAGATGTGCATCTAATCACAGGACAGGATAGGAGTGGGTGGGGCGGTGCCCACAGTGTGGCAGCAGCAGCAGCTTTGTGAGTTCATGGATGGTGGCTCCACACAGCTTAATTCCAGATGGAGAACGTCCTTAATTTAAAATAAGCTTTACCTCACTGATAACATTTAATAAGAATGATTTTATAGCTCCTGGATTTCAAGATATGTAATCAATTTCTTTTTTTATTATTTTTATTTTTAAAAAGAATAACTACTGACAACCTAAAAGCTACAGTGATTTTTACCTGGGAAGTACCAGGTGGCTTTTAACGAATGATAAAGGTACTAACCACTAAACTAACCAATCCAGGCCAACCTTCCAGCAGATATCGCTAGCCTTAGAAATCAAACCATGTTGATTTCAATGTTAGAATAGAAAGTATAAAATGTAAACTGACTAAATGAGATCGTAAATTCAATTTTTTTAAAGTAAGGAATTAGCAAAAAAATGTACAGCCATCTAAAGTAATTAACATAAACTAAAATGCAGGAGAAAAGGGATTTACTTCTTGTATTTTAAAAATATTTCCAGAGGTAAGGTCAGAGATGTTAGGCTTGGCAAGCCTGGGTGTTTACTGCTTTCTGATGCCAACTATGGTGATGTAAACTGTGTATCAAAGAATCATAAATGCCGACAATCCCTAAAAATTATTTAAATACATTTCTAAGTTCATTACAGGAAACATTAACATTTAAGCTAATTAATAAGTACTGCTAAAGGGCTAAAAAGCAATTGTCTTCCAGCTCTTGCTGTTTAATTTTGGCCCCATGGAAGCTTGGAGGCATGGGAGCCCCTACCTGCTTTTCCTCTGCCTTTGGCAGGCACTGCCCGGTCCCCATCTTGTGTTTTACGAAGCCCCGGTGAACATCAGGGCCATTTCTTTATCACTAGGCTGCATGCATGTTTCCAGCCCAACCAGTTTCAAATCACTGTATTCACTGTGGTGGTTTGTGACGCCGCAGATGCCCAAACCTCTCGTCCCTCTTCTGGTGCACGCGTGAAGCCGGAGACGGTGCTGCACGTGTTTCATTCTCGCCCAGCTTGTCACCCGCCAGCTCACTGCCAACCTGAGGGCCCCGTGTTCAGGCCTCTGTGTTTACCACCTTGTGCTCGTTTGCTAATTACTGAGACAGGCAGACGGTACCTGTTTATTCCTTTGAAAGTTTCTTACGACACAGTGCTTCACTGAAAAAAAAGAGGACATGAAACGTTTATCCCGGCAGACCTGTTTGCTGCTTTTTAGCTATGTTAAAACTTGATCTACAAAATATTCTATATAACATGGGAAGGAAGTGACATTCCCCTTTTTCATGTAAGAAGGAAATATTGGGCATTAATTCTCAGTATTCTTTATGAAGTGAAAACTTTAAAATGAAATGACAATAGAGGCTTTTTTTTTTTTTTTTTTTTTTTTTTTGGCCATTCTCTTTTCAGCATTTCTGTACCAAGCGAGGCTTGGGGCGTGACCTTGTCCTCTCTGCATTGTCCTGGCTGGTACAATCCACGCTGGGGCCCGGGGAGGGGGCCTGGCGTGGAGAAGGCTCTCACTCTGTGCCATGTAAAAGCTGCTTTGCTATCTGTAGGAAGAGGGTAGAATTTGACGATATTCAAATCCTTTTCAGTTCTTTTCAAACTTCCATGTTTTTTTTTAAGAACTACCACTAATGTACATCTTTCTCTTTACCCAAAAATAATCATGAAAAAAATTGATGGTATTTATTATATAGAGAGAAAATATGAGTTATTACCTAAAAATATTCTCCCATAGATATGAAAAATCAATTACAAGTAACTTTGCTAAAGAAACTGCTACACGGAATCATTTTTGGATCATGAAAAATGTATTTGTATCTTTTTTTAAATGAAAAAGCCATTGAACTTATTGATGTTAAAAATGCAACTATACTTGGTAAAATAAAATCAAGCTGTGAACTGATGCGTACTGCATATTCTGTTAGATAAGGGACATTAGAAACATATTTGATTTTTCCATGAGTCCTGCACACAAGTACACACACAGCCCCTCATTACAGCATTATATATTCAAAAGAGTATGCAATTGAAAACAATGTGTTTTTTTTTTCTTGTTATTCCTTAGTAGAATATCAGAGAGCCTAAACTATGAACATTGGTGTTACTGTCCTGATTTCTACCACGGTCTGCATCTTTGGCCTGTTTTCATTGGAAGTATCATAGATTGTCATTTGGACAGACCATTCCTAGCGAATACTTGCCTTTCGGGGAGCTTGGATAACCCTGTGGGAAAATCGGAAAGCCAGCGAGACAAGAGGAAGAAGAGAAGTCACGGTGTCAGATTACGTTTGTGTTCTGTTCTGTCCAAAGTTCTTTACATCAGTAAATGAAAAACAAATGGTGCATAGGCCATGCCCTGCAGCGAAAGATGCAAGGACTTGTTCATATTGGTATGAATCGCTCACTGTATATGATTCAAACGTGGAAATAAATGTCTGATTACAGTTGTTCCAAATGTGATTATTTGTGAACATGGGAAATGGGTAATACTTTCTATGTTGGTATGATACACATATTTTAAATTACAGAATGATCTATAAACTAGAATTCTTACAGAAAAGTGTAAATTATTTCCTTCATTCCTCGTGGTTATTTTAGGTGTGACTAATTTCCATTTCGTTCTTTCTAGCTTAACTTAAAGGACATCTGAATTTTAATACCAATACCTTTTTACAAATAGGGATAAAAATATCTAAATGACAAAATCA